GAATGAAATTAGGAAACAACAAGATTACCCTTTGGGCCATTGTTACTCGATTTTTACTGTAGTCCTGGTGGTAGAATAAGCCAATTAACCTCATCCGGTACCTACAGCAGGAGGTGTACATTTTCGCTCTTTCATAGATTTCGTAAAATAGCTTTCAAGCAACTGTGTAAGTTCTCTCTGTGATAACAGATCACTCCGGACGAAAAACTTCTTCTGATAAACTCTTCCGGTTGTGCACCGGACTGGTGCTTACTTCTTTGGAACTTCGTAAGTCACATATGTACAGGTTATTGCCAACTTGTTCAACCTAAACTGTCAAATAATTGCCCATTCCATCATGATCGTTTGCTCCTCCTCACTCGATAATCTTGCCTTCTCAATTTTCCTGGAATTTGCTGAACAACCTTGGCTGAAATGACATATCGTATTTTGTGTGGGTGATTGTCGATTCGTTTATACTTCATCTATTTACGACGTAGCCAAGTCACTAAGTGAGCGATATTTGTCGAATTATTTTCCGAAGCAACAACACCACCAACTAAACTCCTATATCATATATATGTTGCGATATGTTAACATTTCGTTTCCTCTCGTCAATCACAACCGTAAACCATGTCAGTTATATACATTATACTGATAAGCACCGCTGCAAATCCGAAGTCATCGATTGCTAAACAGATCCAAACCCGAAGTTACCGACTTTCTGCGTAGCAATGTTTATCCGCACTTACCATCGGACATTATGTCCACAAAGGTGGTTGAGGCAACCTCTCCTCGGATTGTCATGGTCTTCATTACACAATACTTCTGCATGCAAGCGTGTCTAGTCTCTGTTTATTCTCGTCTGTATGATGTTTATAGCCAACATATTTTACATTTGCGACTAATGAGAATTAGTGAGATGTTAACATATCACAACACGTTTTTTTCCTGTTATGATAAACTTCTCCAAATCAACACGGAAGCAATCATCAGCTATGCCAGCATGTCGATTACAAGTTAGGTAGGGTGGCTCACGAGAACTTCCGTGTTATTGACGAGACAGTGTGGTAGGCGTTACCATTACTGTTTGATCAGCCAAACTGTTACTCCGTGTTATCAGTCTCCTAGTATTCTTTCAATTTAACTCCTATCCTCAATCCTGAATAGTTTGGTCTTCTATTATGCTTGACCCATCTTCAATAAAAGATCCTACTTTTGGAATCGTTATTCTACAGGCCTACACCGGCGACGCTTTGGATAACTTCCAACTAGCCTACGAGAACTTACAACAGTGTCACCACGCGCACGATGGACAGCGCATGGTTGCTGCTGCTCGTCGTCTGGCTCAGGCTACTGCTCAAATGATCGCGGACATCAAGGCACAGGCCGAGCTCGCCGTGGATGATCCGGATCGTCAGAGTCGTTTGTTCGCAGCAGCCAAACAGCTGGCTGATGCGACTACTACCTTAATTGCTGCTGCCAAGGTACACTTTCTCAGAGAACGTGCCAATACTTTCTTCTCAACATTGGATGTTTTAATGCACCGCTCTCACTAGTGGCTCACTGGCATATCTGTATTACGCCGTGTGTAATCCTCATAGTCAAGTCGCCTAATCGACAACCACCTCTTGCTTAATCTTTCGGCTACTCACAAAATATGTATGCATGTGTCTACTAGGCTGTCTGAGCGCAATGCGTGTGTTTGCTTCACATTCCCATGCTAGTGTACATTGTCACACATATCTATCTTCAGATCAGTGCAGTGTTCTTGCATGATTGCAAACAAAAATCAGTACTTTTGTATGATTAGTTGAATCTGTTCATGGATAAACTCATTTGTGACAATGGACATAAGACTTACAACATGAACACTGCTCATTGTGATTCCTAGTCGCGTTTAACATATACGTCAATCAAAAAATGAATTTTGTGTTTTGGACAGCAATCGAGAACACTCTGTTTCAATGAGCCTCGATGCAAAATCTTCTGTTTATCAAAACTCAAGTTTTACACTGTTTTCCACGCTCTCCTGTTTAATTTAGACCGTTACCGGCAAACATGATACGAGGTACAAAGAGCACATTGGAGTTATCAAATTCTTAGTATTTTTGGATTGTGTGGTATGTAACACACCAGTAAGTACCGAACAGCTCGGGGGCTAATAATAGTTGGATTGTAAACGAATGCTGTGGATCACCATTGTTGATGTCTTTCAACTCGTAACATGAAGTTGCTTCTCGCTGACTTCATCTATGTAATCCGTTTTGTTTTCATTATGATTCCTTTATGTGGTTGATGCTCCCGTGTCACCGTAGTATATCTGTATCTGATTGTTTTTCCAAATCCTTATCATGTTGAGTTGGCTGTGTTCGGATAAACAAACGATCACTCCACACGTCCCATAATCACATCGGATATATTTTTGTTTATACTAACTGGGTTTGGTTGCTGTCAGACTCGATCAGCTTCATTGCTAAAATTATTGATAGTGTTCATTCATTTGTCACTCTGCTCTAGTTGTTTTATGAGCACATTATCTAATACGAAGTCTTTCCGTTGTTTATTGATTACTATTGTGGGTTATTTCTAGTAGTGTTCAAATTTTTGATAGTTTTAAATAGTTTTACCTCATCTTGCCGTGGATATGTTGGTGAACAAATGTGTCGTATGGTGTTGCCCCAAAAAGGAGCATTTCCATTCCTAGCCGTTTACAAGGAAAGAACTAGTTACCCACACTAATCTCGTTTATCACATCACATGTAATCACAAGCCTTGACGATAAGCTCATTATATTTTTTCTCCGTATCGTGGGTAGGCTGGATGACTGTGGGAAACATGAACAGTATGAGCCAGATTTTCACGTGGTATTATTGGCTACTCAACATGTTTCATTACCTACCGGTTTTCGTTCTTCAGGTATTGTGGAACCATCAGGAGGTTGAATATAAAGTTGTTTATAAACGTCCTTGATCGAACGTTTTCTGATTGTTGTATGATGCTGCATGTTACCATTACGGCTTCTCAACAGATCAGTCGGATTTTACAGTTGTTGTTCCGTTGTTGTTGTTGTCAAATCTAACTATGCACCTTTATCCTTCGCAGATGAACACGTCGTACGTTGACCGCGTCTGTAAACTATTAAACTGTGCATGCTTCTTACGTAGTTGACTATGTCGTTGCCTGATATTTGTGTATTTTTCTTTCCGGAGTTGGCACTCTGTCGGTTGGTGGTTTTCATCTATTTTGTTAAGACAAACGCAACGGCTCCGTACTTTCGTTTCAACCAAATACCAACCTACTTGCAATTGAGCCTGTTGTTTTAGGAACAGAGGATAATGTCAAGCAAGATTCGATCAGTTTGTCACAATTTGAATTTCACCTGCACTCTCATCTGTTGACTTAATTTTCCAAAACTTTTCCACATTTCTAGTGTTTCCGTACTCTTTTTCCCATAGGTTTGTTCAAGTAATCCCGAAGATACATCTGTGCAAGGCCAGTTGCGGGAATCAGCTGAACAATTAAACGAGATTGCCTATTCCGCTGCGGCAGAACTTCTGCACAATCGTCTGATTCGGAATTTACAAACCGCAGCTCGTGCCACAGTGACCGGCGCCACACAACTGGTTAATGTAAGCCAGGTTGCAGCCAAACGGTCGCGTGGTAACACCTACCAGGTAGGCGATTCCGGCCCTTGTAACAAGCAAACACGTGTGTTTATTCCGACTTTGTGCACGCTGCACTACAATCCAACTTTTTGCGTTGATGTTGCGACACGTGTCTTAATTGTCGTCTGTTTCCGTGTTCATCGGCCTCATTCTTTATTCATCCTGTCACACAGGAGTATTGTTGATGTGTACATAACGCTTCTGCTTGTGATAGTTATCTTGTCGGAAGAAACCGCTCAATCATTCAGTGATACTTTCACAGAATGGCATGAAAATATTGAGTTTAGTCCCTGGTTGCTTGAATATTATATTTTGACATTAGACTGGATCATTCATTATCTGTTGTATAATAACCGGTTCGTATCTGGCCCTCCGACAGTTTTCAGTTTGTCCATTTGTGTATTGATACCATTGATAGTGAACTGAATTGTATGAAAGTATGTTTCTTGTGTTTCTTCTCATTGTTTCTTGTTCGTTCAATTGTTTTCAGGTCGGTGCTGACGCCAAGCTCGTCAATGGTTTGATTCCTCGGACAGTGATAAGTATTCGAGACTCAAGGGCTAATCCAGATGATCCAATGACACAAATGGAACTGATCAGTGCCTGCGACCGGTTTGTTTTGGTACGCTGTCTTCAATTGCAATCTTGCTTGTTTCTTTTTGCGCACATTTTTGTATGGGATATTTACTCTCGAGACTTTTGTTCTTCACGCCTCCCGAATGTACCATTTTGTCAGATCATGAGCACAGTGATTCTATTGTTCTATTTTGCAAAGTTTAGCCCACCGATTCTTCTATGCTTTTTCCTCTTTGTTTAACAATAAAGCATCGATTTCAATGTCTCGCTATCAGCAATGGGTATAGCCTATTCCCTGGCACTGAGTTATTCATATGTTGGTTTCACAACGTTGTATTGTGTCCACAGAAATGTCGCCACTGTTCAGATTTACTTATAAATAATGTGGAAGATTTCATAATTTGGATGAAGCTCGGTTGCAAAAATTCAGGGTTTCGATTAGATTCGAACCAGCGATAAAAACAACACGCCCAAATGCAGCAGGTGTCCTACCAGCTGAACTACAAAGCCACGCCGAGAATCCAGAAATTTCATATTTGAACTCGGTTGTCCCCCCCACTGTGTTATATAGAATGCACCGAACGATCCAGAATTTCGACTGCACAGCCACGATTTCCGAAACACGGGCGCCATCGATGAGATTGCATTACTTATGAGTAGTGTGGCAAATTTTATAATTTGGCAGACCTGGTTACGAAGAGTTCTGCGGATTCCACATGACACATTGGGTTGCGCTGGTAACTGAGTCCAAATGTAAGATTTCTGAGCTCCTACCGTGGCTTCGTAGCTCAATTTGTAGAGTGCTTCCGCGCTTGAACATGCTATTTCTGTTGCTGGTTCGAGTTCAGCCGAAGCCTAGATTTTTCGAAAATGGGCTCCCATCTAACCTGTTTGGTTTATGACGGAACGTGACATCTGCTGTTTCAGAATACACCACGGCGAGCGAAAGCACTCGCTCGCATGTATTGATTTTTATGGTCGCCATTCAATTTTTCAATATATTTATCCCATCTACCCAGAGGCCCTACACGTAACACAATAGTGGTGGTTTTATTTGTCTTATGCGAACAGTAGAAGTAACCGTTAGTGTGCGCACCCGGATTGTCTGTTATTTGCTGTTGTTACCACTAAAACTCAAGTGAGAACTGTTTGGGAAGACTCGTGATTTGCTAGGTGCCGTAGGTTACTTATTCATTCACTTTCCTTCCGTGTGTGCATGCGTTGAGGACTGTTGATGCGGCCATACTCACAGGACTGAAGTGAAACTGTTAAATACTAAAGTCAACAATGATGTAAATTTGGACTATGCGTTTCCGATTGGGATAAGGACATTTCATGGTAATCAGGGTAGTTGATATAATTCGCGGAATGATGTAACGCAGATTCATCAGGCCAGTTCTGCTTCGTTTTTTGAATGGGCATTGTTTACAACTGTACAACTTCTAGCGTTCGCCATCCGAGTTACTTTCTGTACCCAGGTTCGTGTTATTTTCACACTTAGTTTCCACATTAACATCATAATTTTCAATGTGGCTCGACAGTTTTCACTATTACTTATCTTCTTTCACTCTGCTGTTTTTTTTTACAAGCCTTGTGAGGCGCTTGTCAGGTCCAGTCGCTCCATCGCTCCAACCGTTACAGATCCAACTACACAAGCGGCTTTGGATGACTCAACTGCCCAACTTTCTTCTGCGGTCGATGTATTACGCACGTGTCTAGCTCGCCTATCCCCTCTGTCACGGCATTTGCAGGTTGAGGGTGCCCTGGCTCGACTTGCACGTCTGGCAGTCGAAGTTGCCGCAATCGAGACCAGTTTGAAACAAGGCACTTTGGCTCCGCTTCCAGACGAAAAGGTAAGCGGTGACGTGATGAAATGTACAGTTGTCTGATGTGATCGGTTGGTTTCCAGTGGTTATTCAAGATCGTTGGCTTGATTGTTGTATTTTCTGCGATATTTCACTAAGATACTGGGGAAGGCGTAGCGATAACCCAACGATCTCAATTACTCAAAACAAGATGGGATAACAATACCGCCTCAAACCAGCCAGGTGGATAAGTAGACCACCTCAACAGTTTCGATCGACAAGTCGTTTCCGAAAAATAAATTACAGTTTGTTGCTGGACAAGCTGAAGATGAATTATAATAACACAATTTGACGTTCGTTCTTCCGAGCAGTCGAGGGTTCAGAAATAACAAAAATGAGCTAAGCTCTAAAAAGGCGATGCACGCACCACTCAAGCAAAGTACAATAACAAACAACTGGCTATTCGCACATTCATCAAATTGACGTGATAAAGCAAAAACGTCTGAATCAAAATCCAAATAACTCAAAAACGGGAGAGTTCAGTATTTTTCTTTAGTCCGTCCATCACTGAACGCAGACTGTTGTGGACTGCCACGTCTCAGTGGTGTAAGCTCCAGTTGCCAACCTGTTGACTTGTTCTGCGGCCAAGTAGTGCCTGCTACACTGTCAGGTTTAAATTTCACACAACGGGTTAACTTTTGCATTATGGTCATTTGTTAACAATGTCTCAATGCTGGAGTTGACGGACGTCACTAAAGCAGAGTTGATTGTGCTGAAATTTTCAGGCTTCAGTGTGTGTTCTTTAGCTAGAGTAAAGCAAACATGGTGCTACTTTTCCAGAGAGATTGGGCTGGTTTTCAAGTCTGTATGGACGCGATAACTACAACCAGCTATGCGTGATGTGTCAAAAGACTGTGACAAATGTGAGGACTTGTATCATCTGAAACCTGTAACACAACCTCGGTGGCACTTTGTAGACATGTTTTCAAATTGCTTTTAGAAAATCGGTTGAATATCTTCCGGTTTGTAAGTCCGGCTGATTATGCCAGTGATCAGGCATTCAGCTTGTACGAACATCAGTTTCTTCATCCTATTCTCTCTTCATGTCTTTAATCTGATGTTCTCAATATCACCCTTCTGAGCACTCACGCTTAGCTCCGATAATGTCTTCACAGTAGCTAGCTGATCACTTTTTTTCGCGTTCTCACACTGACCAGCCATCATATTTCACATTGACGATGAATGAAGAAAATAGCTTGTAACGAGAATCGCCACAAGTAAAGGTAACTTTGCATAGACCAACAACCTCAGGCACTTGAATGATCTGTTGTATCACGGTAGGCTATAGTTTAATGCTGCTGTTTAGTTAAAATCCTCTGTGCTTTCCGGTAGTTAGCTCATGATTAAACGACTGTCACCGGTAAATAGTTACACATAGGTGGACGTTCTGCACATTCTTTGTTGTATTGTTTTTTATGTTTTCATCCGTACTTCGACTTCTTTATTACTAGGCCGTCGGTATTTGTGTATTCATTCATAGAAAGGAGACAGAAAATAACTCTTCTAGCATGGGAACGATGTTAAAATTGTGTTCCAATCTAACACCACTCTCAGCTTACTTTTCATATCCCGAGGAAAGTGTAGAACATAACGGCGTAAATGCGTGTGCTGCTCGTCAAAACATTTTAGCAGAGGTTCTTGTATTTTCCTTTGTTCAGTACAGATAGCCCGGATCTTATATTGTAACTCGGTCGTCACAACGTTTACGCTGGCATTCATATCTATGATAAAATGGCCCATAATTTTGACGAATGTCGGAGGATGTTCAATAACGTGCATTCTCCTTCTCCTGTGTCCCCCACCTCCTCAACATCGAACTTCTACTGATCAGTCGACTCTTCCACGCGGGCAGTTCTGTCATATTAGTAGAAAATAGACATTCATAGTGAATGTATTCAACACTCACAAAAAGTGGCAAATCCTTGTCTCTTCTCCTACACTTTCCACTTCGATTAATCTGTTGTTTCTTCTTTTCGGTAGATCGGTGTTCCCCTCTCCCGCAAAAAGTGTTTCTTGTAGGGACAGCTACTGCTGTGCTCCAATTATTTCTTCGTTAACTTGCAATCACAGCTTCCATACTCACAGTAACACAAAATATATAAAGCACTCGTTTGCACTCACGTGTACACTTCAGAAATCAGCCTTGAGGTCAGGTGACATTTATTGCGGAGGGAAACCCGTCCGGTATCTTCAGTTTTGGATAAGTGTTTCAGTATTTGCGAATGAATTCAAATATCAAAACCAAGCCGTACAATGCTGGGTCCATCGCTTTTAAGAGTTGCTGATCAATGTACGCAACCAAAATGATTGGTATGCAGTCACGAGTGAAAAAGCATGTAGATACAAGCCCAGTCAGTGAAAACGGTGGCAGCGACTAAACGGTCAATCAGTATCGTAATCTGATGTGACCTGCCTCTTAGAAGAAAACTCCAATACGCGGGACTAAAGTGTTTGTCTCCTACTGAGGTTAGAAGAGTATTCTGTTGTGGTCGTAGGGTCGTGTTGTGGTTGTTATTTGGGTATTGGGAACATTGTGTTCATTTTATCTTTCAAGGACAAATAAGCCTCTGCTGTTCATTTACAGTCGTCTCAGAGTCTATGAGAAGCCTATTGATGTGTGAAGTTCGTTCGTTCTCCTTCAATAATATTCCCCCTTTGATCGTTCCCGGCTGTCACATTTTTGTTCGTGCAGTCGATGATTCAATCATTAGCCAAACATTGCCCTGATAGGATCATCCTGTCTAAAAGTCTTGATGTGTCATCCGAAAGGGGCCGACTGGAAAGTCTATAGGGATGCGACAGCTGCGATCAATTGTAGGTGATGTTCAACTTGACATTAACTACTAAGTGTTGAACACCTATTTGGTGTACTTTTGACTGTAACTTTCAGTGTCGGATGCGCTTGATACGTCATCACAACCTATTTAACTTTTACTTCTCCACATCACAGCTACTTCAACTGGTCCTCTTCAGGATCGTTGTAATGAATTTTAATTGGCTAACCAACTCTCGTCCACGTGACGTATTCAGTTGGCCTCTCCGCTCTGCTTTCTTTCGGTGTGTGTTAAAGTAAAAGAAAATTTCATTTTCCTTAGATTTCTGACTGGTCTCATGCAGGCTGTTTGGTACAGTATAAAAGTAGCTCCTCATTAAGAAGGAATCATCTCAATGATACAGCTTTTCCTGTTTCTTGTTGGCATTATCGAGGTATTCCTTCGAAATGTGTGACTTTCAATGAGAGCTCAATCGTTCGACATGCGTGGTTTTTTCCAGATAAATGCCTTGTAATGGAAGATTGTGTATGAACGTCCTGTGTCTCACAGTCATTAGTACGAAAATCCTTCAATGAGGATTCCAAGTGCGTCATATATGAGGAAAATTTTTACGACACTGCAGATAACGTTACTCGATGAAAGTGACAACTTCACAAATATGTTTGACAGCATAGTGTCATTCCGGCTATTCACATCGTGAGATGGACAGCTAGAACCACAGAAACCTTTGGCAGCGAAACAGAATGGGGAACTACGATCTAAGTGGTTAGTAATCACCGTTTGGGTCCGATAAAATCCGGAATCTTATGTGCACGGGTCTGGAAAATGAAATATTTCGAGAGTGCAGCTATCCTAATATCGTCATTGAGAGTTTACGGCCTTTGGGATACGAAATTGGTTTTGTGCCTGTTTTGCTTCATCGTCCGGTGGTGTCGAATGTGATCCGTGACTAGTATTAGCTCTGTCAGTCTGCTTGTAATAATATACATCACTGTAACGTCTTGGTTTTGGCCGCTGTTTGTACTTCGATCTCACGGTTTCGTGAATATTTCCGAATGCTACATAGACGAAATTCATTTGCGATTCGATGCGTTTTCATGTGAATCGCGTCTGTTTACAATGAACATACAGTTAACGTAGTCCCGTCAGATGAAACGAATCAATTCTTTGTTTACCCATTTCTCCGTAATCCATTCATCGGTCACTTGTACATTCATA